ATTTTCAGCTTGTGGGCCATAGACAACCAGGCAGTGGCTAGTGTTGACCTATGGGCAATAGTTTTCCAGCCTCTGATATAATGGACAGAAGATGAACTTTGAGCCTTATCACATGCAGTTTGATACTGTCTTTGAATTTGGGACCTGGAATATCTTAATTAACTTTTTTATTAATTGATTTACTTTACATCCTGACCACAATCTCTCCTCCCTCCTCTTCTCCCACTCCCTTTTCCCCTTCCCCCCAATCCACCCCTCCTCCGTGTTCACTCAGAAAGGGGCAGGCCTCCAGGGGGCATCAGCAAAGCATGGCAAATCAAGCTGCCACAAGACCAAGCACCTCTCCCTGTATTCAGGCTGGGTAAGGCAATCCAGCATAGCGAATAGGTTCCCAAGAGCCAGCCAAAGCACTGGGGACAACCCTGCTCCCATTACCAGGAGTCCAACAAATAGACCAAGATACACAACTGTCACATATATGCAGAGGGCCTAGGTAGGTCCCATGCAGTCTCCCTGGTTGTTGGTTCAGACTCTGTGAATTCCCGTGAGCCAGGCTAGCCATTTCTGTGAGTTTTCCTCTGATGTCCCTGATCCCCCTGGCTCCTACAATCCCTCCTCTCTTTCCTCAGCAGGACTCCATGAGCTTGGCCCAATGTTTGGCTGTGGGTCTCTGAATCTGCCTCTGGATGAAGATTCTCTGATGACAAGCTGGGGTAGTCATGGGGGATAGTCAGTTCAAGCTATGCTTCTACTGCTGCCATCTTACCAAAAGCAACCTACAGATTCAATGTAATCCCCATCAAAATCCCAACTCAGTTAACTTTTTGACCTGGGAGCTTTATTTGTGTATAACTAGGGAACATTCTATTATAGTGTTACTTAGTGAACATTTTATTGCTACGCATAAAGTATAGAAAAAGATCTGCTGTCTGGTATCACACCTAAGCCCTGCATGTCTGCTTTCTCTTTAGTGAGGTGGTTTGATTTAGGCTTATACTACAGTATGACAGACATATTGAGCAATACCATAATAGGTGTTTATCTTTTCTTGAGTGACTTGCCGAAATGACATTAGAAGTTTAAATGAATGGAAAAGGGAAAGCCAGCATGTAGTTGACTTGCCTCTTCATTTGTTTCCTAAGGGGTTGGGGTACAGCTTATGAGTGTGTCTTTCAAATTCTCTTCCATATTGTTATTGTTGAGTGTGCCAACTGACATCTGCTGGAATATGCTGAACACAAGAAGGCAGGTCTGTAGAGTGGCAAGGCATCACCCAGTAGTTACTCTGCGTTCTGAATCTCAGGGCTAGGATGAATAATGGTGAACAGTTAGGTTTGAACCAGTATTCTCCTGGCTGAATGGGGGGAATGGAAGAGTTCACAATCTCTTATATTCTTGTAGGAACTTTTGGCTATATGGTGTGATAAGGCTAAAGCTAATTTAGCAGCTACTCATAAAAGTAATTGCAACACAAGAGAGAACTCTACAGGCTGTGAAAACTAACCCAGTAGACGTTCATTGAACAGTAAAAGTGTCGATGAACCATCATGAAGTATGACTCCTAGTGAACAGTCCTGACAAAACCATGCCATTGACTTGTGCTGGGCACTGAGGACATGGAGGATGAGATGGGATGGGATGCAATGGAAATAGTTAACAGTACCAGTTGTGCAGTTCCCCCTTTTGCTTCTTCCTTGCCAGGAAGTGAGATGCTCTGCCTGCCCGATAGCACTCTTTCCCTGACATACTGTCCAAACTGGATTGAAATCACTGAAGCTGAGTGAAAGAAGTCTCCCCCGACCTAAGTTGTCCATATCAGGTATTTGTCACATCGATGACAAGTCTAGCATAGTGTCATGGAATTGCATAAGGTTTTGGAGATAGCATCAGTCCTTGGGTAACGTGAAGAACAAGCCTGGCAGGTGAAGAAACAAGGACACATTTGGCTTCTGTGTAGAGGACTCTGTAATGGGTGTTGAGAAAGAACCTGGTGTCTGCTGTGCCTAGAGTCTTAGTAGCTTCCGGGTGGGGATTGTTGGAAGGGTGGATCAGCTGGAAGGGTCTCAAAAGCCATCCTCAGGACTGAGTTTTACTGGAAGGACATGAGGAACCTGGGAAGCACTTTGGAACTGAAAGTACCACTTGAACCTGGTAAGGGAGAGCAGAGTCTGAACTTACCAGCTGCACGAGAGAGCGGGGAGTGGGAGGGAGGAAGGAATTTCTTGGAGAATTCTTCTAGCCCCTCCTAACTAAGAGTTTAAACTTTTTAGACAATTCTGTGGAGGCCTTTAAAAATACTTGAAAGAGAGAAGCATATTCAAACCTTTGAACTAGTCTAACAATTTATTACCTTTCAGCTAGGAGAGAAAGTATTATTTCAGGCAAACTGGGGTATGCATGGACTGGTTACTTAGCACAGTCACTTAATCTTACAGAATTATGTAGGAGGGAAGCTTTTTAGTGGCCTTCAGCCTCCTTCTGGAACCCTGTCAGATTCCTCCCAAAAGGCCAGGGAATTTTTCTGACTTGTAGCCAATGTCCAGTTTAGTGCACATCTGTAAGTTGTAAGAAGTTGATTTCATCCATTCCTTTTTTCCATCTCCTGCTTCCCACCTGAGAAAACAAACCCTAGCCTGTAGGTTCTCATTCTATACTGGAAGTCTGCAGAGTATGTAATGGAAGATGGAACCATCAGAGCGTGTTACCCATTTGGAGTAAACTAAAGCAGAGGAGTGAAGGAGCCAGTTTAGGAAATACCTCCTGCTAACTGAGCAGCTGGGTGTATCACTTTCTTCTTTAGATGTCATTAACATATTTCTACCCACACCTTAGAACTTTTCCATGGAGATCTTTTTTTTTTGGGGGGGGGGTTTCTTTTCGAGACAAGGTTTCTCTGTGTAATATTCCTGGCTGTCCCAAAACTCGCTTTTTAGACCAGGCTGGCCTCAAACTCAGAGATCCACCTGCCTCTGCCCCCTGAGTGTTGGAATTAAAGGCATGTGCCACCACCGCCTGGCTTCCATGGAGAATTTAACCGGAAAATACTTTGAGCTTTAATGAATGAAAACAAAAACAAACAAACAAACAAAAAACCCAATCAACCAACCAACAAACTAACAAAAACTAAAAATAGCCTGCCTTTTGGAATGAGAAATCTCAGGCTGATGGGCACTGCTCCATAGGTAAAATCCAAAGGTTTTGAATTATTTTCTCTTCCTTGAAGTTTATGTATTTCAGAAAGTTCTTGGCATATCTCTGAGAGGTTTGGAGCACAAAGACATATGACATAAGGGCTTACTGCACTTATATGTGTCTATTCTTCTCTGGGTAAATTGCAGAGATTCTAGCACTATACATAAAAATATAGAAACAAATGTAAACAAGTTGGTTTTCTGATGTCAGATAGGGTGAGTCTTAAAGTACCATGATGAATGTTTTCCCAGCAACTTCAGTTACCTGTTGTAAAACACTTCCCAGTTTGAGGTAGTAGTTATAGTAAAGGAATAATTCAAAGTCAATTTGGTAGTAAATTCACACTTTTTAAACAGGTTTTTATTGCATTTTATTTATTTGTTTCATGTGTGGATGCATATGCCATGGATGCCTGTGTCATGGTGTGTGATCAGAGAACAACCTGTAGAGGTTGCTTCTCTCATTTCTTCCTGTAGGGCCTGGAGATAAGACTGTGGTGCTCAGGCTCTGCAGCAGGCATCCCTATCTGCTGAAACCCTAAATTCACACTTTTCAAACGTTATTGTTTACTTTATGAAGTATAGTTCATTTGTTCACCTGCCAAGGACTATACTTTCTTTATATTAGGAATTATCCTGTAAGACAACTATCTTCATACTGAAACGACACAGGTGCTGTTGGCCATGTTCTCCATGTACAGCCTTATCTATAACTTAGGATGTGTGATTTATGTATTCATAGTAGTGGATGTACTAGAAGACTCAGTTGCATTTTATTTTGAGTGTAAGTTGATTGAGAATTGGGTGTCTATTCTGTGTTAAGAGGGAAAAGAAAGTTGCCTCTGGTCTTGAAGAGAATTTGTGTTAATGGGAAGCAGAGCAAAACAGAGAACCAAGGTAGAATGTGGTAAATGCTGCAATGGACAGTATAGAAATTTGAATATGGAGAATGAACTGCTATGACGCTCATTCACTTCAACCATTATTAACTCTCGGTTACACCTGATTTCCCCCACATGCTTAGTATTCTCTCCCTCTCTTTTTTGAAGCACATCCAAGACATTGTATCATGGGATAGGGATTTTTAGATATTTGAATAGACTGCTTTCAGAATGCACTCTGAAAATAAACTATTATTCCCAAGATTTTAGGAAGGATCTGTCTAGATGTGGAGGAATATGTTCTAATTATAGGTGACAGAATGGGACCAACAGTTACTGCAGTGTTAAGTATTTATGTGCATAGTGTGTTTTTGTTGTTTCTCTGAACAACTCTGAAGTGAGCACCTGAAGTATATTTACTAAAAAGTAACTTTGCCTGAGAACTTTAGGGCTTTGTGCATGGTAGGCAAGTGTGCTACCACTGAGTTCATCCCTAGCTCTTGACTAATTCCCATTCAAGTTTGGTAAAGCAGGATAATGCATAAGTAGTGTAATGACTAATCTGTTCTCTTCTCACTCCAATGACTTTCTAGACTTTGTACATTAGAATCCACCCCCCAAAGGCATCCCTTCTTTTATAAGCAGAGTAACAGCCGTCCGTCGTTTGTCATCTTTATTTTTGTCTTCAAAGGAGGAAGAACAATCCGTTCTGAAACATTGTGAGTAGGTAGAAATTCATGATTTGAATAAAAAAATCGCTCTTTAAATCAGAGGAGGGGGAACCCTCAACCATTGCATACATGTAGGTTCCCAAGGGACTTTTTGGTTAGTTATCCTGTGAAATCCTCAAGGTTTCATTATATAGCTTTGTCTCTTTTTTCCTGTTATGGAGTGGGGTTTTCAGTATCATTTTTCTTGTCTCTTTCAGATCACAGAACTGTGTGGTGCAAAGCGGGTTGGTTATTTTGGTCCAACACAGTTTTACATTGCCCTGAAATTGATTGCTGCAGCACAGTCCGGCCTCCCTGTTCGGACAGAAAGTATTAAATGTGGTGAGTAGCTCACATTTCTATGTTTTATTGTCTATAACAGGTTTCTTATTTGTGTGAACTCTTTTTGGTGTGTCTAAGGCCTTTCCTGTAAGCTTTTGTGGAATTTCTCCTAGCTTTCCCTACCTTCATGCTAAGGAAAATAAGAAAATTCATCAGGTGGCTTTGGTTTCTTTTTCTTTTTCAAATGGGGAAAAATTCATAGAGTGAACTAGGATTAGTTCCCTTTAACTGGTGGTTAAGATAGCTTTTGTTCTTTAGTGAGATGAGACTGGGGCAGGAATTCTCTAGCCTGTGGCAAAATAATACCATTCAGTTTAATTTTCCACTTGAGGTAGCAGTAATATCATTCAAGGCTCTGTTAGGGATTAGGATGGCACACTGAAAGAGTTACATGGAACTGATTGTCCCTCTCACTCTCCCATTCCTATCTGCTCATCTTTTAATTCCGTGTTCCGGAATGAACTGTTCTGATGACTTGGGGGTTACCAAGATTTTGGCAGAATAAATGTATCTTTTCAAGAGTTCTGCACTGTTTTTTTTGTCCTTTCCCATGTTGGGATGGAACCTAGGGCATCCTGTGCATATGAGACAAGGCTTCCACCACTGAGCTATATATCATTAGCCTTCTTGGAGTTCTCAAGATTCAGGCGGTGGCACATGGGGAAGGCATCTTAATCAGTTGTCATTCTAAACTAAATCAATTAGAATTCAGATTCTCTGGAAACTCCTGAGGAAATTTTGCAGAAGTCCTTCTGGGCTGCTTATCACCCATCTCAGTTCCCTTGAGAATCACCTGGAGGGCTTTAAACACAAAGTGAAAATATGGGACATTTATATTTAATTAACCTGGTGTCCATCCAGAGCAGTAGGATTTTTGAGAGCTTTTTTGATTTTTGAGTGATTCATACATGAAGCCAAGGTGATAACTTCTCATGAAAGTCATGTGAAACATTCCCAAGAACTTTGCTTACAGTACAAATATATGTTTTACTATATTGGCACATAGGGCACATCATTTACGGGAACACTTAATATCAGTATTGTTTAAGTGCTAAATATGCATTTCCATGACCCTGACAGTTAATGCCTCCCTAATGTTGGTATTAAGCTTTTTGGTATCCTTACCCTGGTTGCACCTGGAGGTAAATGAGTAGCTGAACAGTTAAAGGGGTGGCTGGGAAAACAACTTATGGAACAGAGAGAATTCCTGCCATCTTTCTTTCTGGGGACTGAACTTGAGCATTATGATGACTAAGGGAGAGTTAGACAGGATGCAGGGTTGGGTTCTTAACCATTTTGTGAATGCCATGAACCATTTTGGCAAATTGAATCCTTCTTGGGCTTATTTTTCTTTTAGGGTCCTCGAAATCAAACCCAGGGCCTTGGGCATATTAAGCATATGCTTTTCTACTGAGCTCTACCCTAGCCTAGACCAATGTTTCAAATGTGTACAAAGGCATAGGATTATAAAGGAAACCAATTATATTAGCATATTCATAACAATATACATACTTCTTTATTAAATGCATTAAATAAAAGATCCCACAGTGGTTGAACCAGCTGCCATACCTGTAGAGCAGTAATGAGCGTGTATAATAAATACACCAAGCTGTTTACAAGTATAATGACATAAACAACTGGAAAGTTGCAAGTACTATAATGATGCCATCGGGGCTGGCTGCCTCCATACTTACTGGAAAGAAAGCCTTTAACTGCAGTTAGGGGAGAGGAAACACAGTTGTGGGTTTTCCCGCTCTTTCCCACGTAACAGACCTCTTGATTTCTTTTCTACAGTCCCCTTGAGATCTCTGCGCTCCAAAAGTACAATGGTGTGATTCCTGCTGTCTTCAGGATTGTTTCTCCAAAATGGCTCCTGCTCTGTTGGTAGTCTGGCACTATTTGCAATGGAAGGAGAGAGGACTAGGAGGAAAGAGGAGTTATTTACAGCATGAATATGTTTAATCCTAAAAGTTTCCCCCCTATTGCTAGGTGTCCTTTTAGAAAACTTATAATGAATTATGGTTTTGGGTAAAATTCTTCATTGTTGTATTTTGAGGCTGGTTCTCACATTGTATCGCAAACTGGCCTTGAACCATGGCTAGCCGACTGTTTCAGACTCCCAAATGACACGAGGCTTAAAATTCTTGGCAAAGTAAAAATTTGGCAACTTTATGTTGGTCCGTGGTGAAATGGTATTTTTACTGTTCTGTGAAATCACAAGATGTGTGAGCCATGTTATAATTTCCAGCCTACCACTGCAAAGGTTCTTAGGCAAACCATTTTACTCCCTGGTTCCTTGCTGGAAAATGGCCATTCTCAACCCAGGGGACTTTGTACCTTCAGGAGATATTAGCCAGTGTATGCCAACATTTTTGGTTGTCAGAACTGTAGAGAGGGTGCTCTAGGCATCTAGTGGGTAGAGAGCAGGGATGGTACTAAATGTCCTGCACTGTATGGAACAGGGCCCCTTCCCCGACAACAAAAACCTGTCCAGTCGACTCTGCTGCGATGAGGCGCCGACACTGAGAGAGCTGGGCTGCCTGTAGGATGAGAATCAAGCCTTCTTAGGCACAGTGGAAATGCTAACCCTGCCACCTCCCTAGATCCTGAGCATTTCAGTGCCTTTCTCCTCCTCAAACAAGAATTATCTTATCCAAGAAAAATAGAAGCAGAGATTCTCTTGTCAGACTGAAAGGGTTGGGGAGGTGCGATCTCTGTGCCCTGCTTATTTGGCAAGCCTTCTTTATCTTTAAAAGTTGGAGGATAAATCTTCTGAGTGGGACAAGCAGGTTGGTGCCTTGTAGAAAAGACAACTCCTTAGGATGGGTGGGATAGGATGGCCCCAGGTGGAGTTAAGGATCCCAGGAGGTACAGGTGTGGCCAAGTGAGGCTGGTGTGTGTGTAATTCCTTCCGGGAGCAGAGATGGACATTTGAATACTGAACATTATGTTGGGATTTCCCATTAAGCCTTTCTACCTAATGTTCATCTCAATTCTTTTCCTTTTTAAAATTCAGTGGCCCTGCCAGGCAGTGGTGGCACACGCCTTTAATCCTAGCACTCGGGAGGCAGAGCCAGGAGGATCTCTGTGAGTTCGAGGCCAGCCTGGGCTACAGAGCTAGTTCCAGGACAGGCACCAAAAAACTACACAGAGAAACCCTGTCTCGATAAACAAACAAACAAACAAACAAACAAACAAACAAACAATTCAGTGGTCCTTTTAGCAGCTTCCTTCATACCTTCTCCCCTTCTCAGCCTTCCTATGGGGAGCTAGAGCTGCTTTGGACAGATGCCCCACTGTATGGCTGATCAGTTCTGTGTTCTAGGCATTCCAACCTCTCCACACATACCTGTGGTCCTCAGCTCTTGTGTTGCTTCTTCCATCCCTAAGGTTGTCTTCAACCTTATGAGCAGTGCTCCTCACATTTATTTATTTATGCTTGTTATAGGATTCTTTGACAGAATCTTTGATCTTTTTAAAAATAAAATTACATTTAGTGTGTGTGTGTGTGTGTGTGTGTGTGTGTGTGTGTGTGTGTGTGTGCTTGTGCATACATGCCAAAGTATTTGTATAGAGGTCAGAGGACAACTTTTGGAAGTTGGTTCTTTCCTTCTAGCACATGAGTCCCATGGATCAAACTCAGGTTGTCATAGGCTTGACGACAAGCATCTTTATACACTGAGCCATCTTGCTGGCCTATCTTTGATTCTTTTATCTAGCAAAAGCTCTGGATCTTGCCAGGAGACTACACATTGACAGTGGGGAGAAGGAGGAAGGGGACTGGAAAAGAACATGAAAGAAAATTTGGTATTTTAATTTATATATTGCTTTTCCCTCCCCACCCTATCTCTGACATACACACACATACATGCAAATCAATACTCGAGAAATGATCTGTATAAAGTATACCTACATACAAAATATCATTTGATTATTTAAGGAAGACTCATTTGCTGCCATTTAACATTATAGTAGTTCTTAGTGAGATACAGGTTTCTGAACACAGTGACCCATATTTCCTTGTGGCTTATCTATTCCAGTATGGTGGCCAATAGCTGTGTGTGTCTGCTGAACACTTACAGTGTGTGTTGTGGTATGCATTGAGAGTAAAATATACACGTGAGTTCCAAGAGTTTTCACTAAAAACAAGTGTAAACTATTTCATTGATATATGTGTATATTTTGGCTGTGTTTGGAATCAAACCTAGGGATTCGAGCATGCTAGGCAGAGTGCTTACGCCCTGCTGTGTTACCTCAACATCCTTCATAATTTTATGTCATATGTTGAAATGATATGGGATTAAAATAGTTAAAATTAATTTGATTTTTTTCAAGACAAGGTTTCTATCTCGCCCTGGCTGTCCTGGAATTTGATCTATAGATCTGTAGACCAGGCTGACCTCAAAGTCACAGAGATTTGCCTGCCTCTGCCTTCCAAGTTCTAGGATTAAAGGCATGTACCACCACTGCCCAGCTTAATTTGACCTCTTAAAATTTCAACTAAAATTAAAAATTCTTGTTATAAAATTCATATAGCACACAAGTTCCCATCTTAACCATTTTATGTGTGAAATTCAGTAGAGTTAGGTCTATTCATTTTGGTATACATGCATTTTCTAGTAATTCGCACCTCATGTTGTAAAATTGAAAGTCTGATTAAACAACTACCCATTACCCCTCATTCCTTATCTCTGGCAATCCCTCTTTATCTTTCTACTTGTATGCATTTTACTATTCTTTTTTTTTGGTTTTTGGTTTTTGGTTTTTTGAGACAGGGTTTCTCTGTGTAGCTTTGGTGCCTTTCCTGGATCTTGCTCTGTAGACCAGGCTGGCCTCGAACTCACAAAGATTCGCCTGGCTCTGCCTCCCGAGTGCTGGGATTAAAGGCGTGCACCACCACCGCCCGGTGCATTTTACTACTCTTGATGTAAGTGGAATCATATGATATTTGTTTCCTGTGACCAACTTATTTCACTTTAATGTTTTTCTTTTTTGTGCTCTCTCTTCCTGTGTATGTGTGTTGCCATGTATGAAGTGTCTGTGTGTGCACACTTACACATGTGTAAGTGGAGGTCCATGCCATCTGTCATTCTCTATCGCTGTCCACTTTATTGATCTGAGACAGGGTCTCTCATTAAACTGGAGAATGCTTGCTCTTTCGGCTAGACAGCTGGCCAGCAATTTATTAGGATACTTCTGTCTCCTTCCATAGTGCTGGAGTTACAGGCACACACAGCCATGCCCAGGATTTTACATAGGTTCTGGGGATTAGAAATAATTCTGGAGAAGTGCGCATAACCAAGGTTGGGGAATGTGTGGAGTGACAGGATCCTTAAAGGTATCTGGGAGTCCTGGTACAGCTGTTAACATTTGTAATGTTACAATCGTATTCCATTGTTCTCTGGACCAAATGCCAGCAAAGCACTAGCCGGGGAGATTAGAAATACCAAGAATCTCTTGGCTTTTTTCCTGAAGAAATCCTTGAAGTAGAGCTATGTTTTTATGGTTGGACCAAGGTAGAAAGTATTTTGCATATTCTTTTTCCTATGTTTTAGACCCATTTTGCAGACTGAGTTGAAAGACAGAGCTTTAGTTACAGGATTGGCTTCTGTGTGATTCACTAAGGCCCTGGAGTTCTTCTTTACTTTTTTGCTCAGGTCCTCATTGATTGCAGAGAAAGTGCCCTTAACCCATTGAGCAATCTCCCCAGCTCATCACTTAAAAAAATGCTAGGGGGCTGGAGAGATGACTCAGCAGTTAAGAACAGTTTCTGCTCTTAATTTGTTTCCCATGTGTTAATTTAATTAAGTTTTGGAGACAAGATTCTAAGCAGCTACTACAAAAGGACCTCCTGTGATTGTTAGGGAAGGGCAGCTCAGCCTCCCCACTCCCCCCAAGCTGGAGATTAGGGTAGGGGTGGAGTATGCCAGTCATATCCTGTAATAGGTAGGGGCTGAGGGGTTCAGGGAGAACCTGAAGGCCATCATCTGCTTTGATATGTTCAATAGGCACCTCAGCCATTTGTCCTGGGTTTGAGACCTAACAGAAATCACTGTGTCTTAGGGTTTCTGCTGCTGCGACAAAACAATGGCCAAAAACAAGTTGGAGAGGTAAGGGTTTATTTATCTTACACTTCCACATCATAGTTCATCATCAAAGGAAGTCAGGACAGGAACTCAAGCAGGGCAGGAACCTGGAGGCAGGAGCTGATGTAAAGACCATGGAAGGGAGCGGCTTGCTCCTCATGGCTTGTTCTGCTAACTTTCTTATAGAACCCAGGACCACCAGTCCAGGATGGCACCGCCCACCATGGGCTGGGCTCTCCCATCAATCACTAAGAAAATGCCCTAAAGCTGGATCTCATTGAGGCATTTCCTCAACTGAGGCTCCCTCCTCTATGAAGACTCTAGCTTGTGTCAAGGTGATATAAAACCAGCCAGTACACTCGGCATACATCATTGTATAGTAGGTGTTTTATTTATTTTGTTTTCTAATAAAATTTCACCATCGAATTCTGTGTACAGATAACAAAGAAAATTATTGAGACCAAAGACTTAAAGACTTTTACTTTTTTAATAGCTTGTAACAGCTTCAGGGAGATGATACTGTCATGATAAGAGATGGTTACAATTCTAAGTGAGAGCTGTTTAAAAATCATAGGACTGAAGAAAGTACAGGAAGAATTCAGCTGTATTTTGTCTTTCACTGTTTGGTGTCCATCTGGAGGCAAATGCTTGTTTCCTAGGCAAATGATTCTGGAGAAATGCCATAACCAAAGTGGAAGAATGTGTGGAGTGACAGGGGCCTTACGGGTATCTGGGAGTCCTGCTACAGCTGCTAACCTTCGTAATGCTACACTCGTATTCCATTGTTCTCTGGACCAAATGCCAGCAAAGCACTGGCTGGGGAGAGTAGAAACTGATTTTTTTTTTCTTGAAGAAGTACTTTAAGTAGACTAATGGTCTCATGGTCAGGCCAGAGTAGAAAAAGTATTTTGTATGCTCTTGTGCTATATTTTTAGATCTATTTGTCAGACCCCGTTGAAAGAGATATTTCTGTGAACAGCGCCACAGGACTAGCTTCTGTGTGACTCACTAAGACTCTGGAGTTTCTTTTACCTTTTTCCTTTTGAAATCCATTTCCGCCTTCAGTGCTGGAGAGCTGCCCATGGCTGGGAAACATTAAAACATTAAAAATGGTGACCATCTTTCTTTAGAGAGGAATCTCGATTTAAGTTTTCAGATTGATTTATCTCTTTATGACTCTTAGGCCCTTAGCTGATTGATCCCGCAGGGATTTGTCATAATTGCCCCCTTCTTTGAATCAAATGTGGACATAGCAACTAAAAATAAACATGTGGATATTAGAGAACCAGGGGCCTTCTTTGCCCAGGGAATAGCATACTTGCTGTTGCTAAGATGTTTCCTGGCTTTAGCACAGCATCCATCATTGGAAGCACAGCTGTGTTTTTGGAGTGGAGGGATGACAGAAGTGCAAAGACACACTGGGAAGTATCCTGAACAATGGCTCCAGATGCAAATCATTATGCCTAATCCACAATATTATCCTTATTTGTGTGGATCTTTGTGTCATGTGCTTATGTGTGACTTGCTGTTTCCAGAATAGTTCTGTCAGAATTTGAAAGATAAGGAAATATGCCAGACAGCTCTCTGTCGCACTGTGAGTGGCCAATGGTTTTGTCTTTAGAATCTGTGTAAATGTTAGAGCAATTGATCTGACTTCATAACACTTTCCTCATTATGTTATCAACAGGCAACCAGAGATTGAGTGTGAAAACTCATAAGAGAATTATATTGAGTGGGAAACTATTCAACCCAGTAAGTTGCCCCCAGGAAGGGGGTGGACATTAATGTAGGGTACTCTTAAGAATCAGTTTGCTTGGGTTCAAACCGTGTCTTGCCCAGAGATTAGTTGTGTGGTCCTGGGGGACATTATGTAGCTTTCCCACACCAGTTTCTACAGCTGTAAAGGGAATTGCTAATGCTAGTTTATCTTATAGAATTGCCGTGAAGATAGATGGGTTGGTATTTGCAGGCCCCTAACCCTGCATCTGGTGTATTTAAGCATTTATAAACTTTGCTGGCTATCATTGCCTCCTGTTTTGATAAAATTCACATCCTTTTTCTGCAGGATCAAGTGGGAGATAGTCCCAAACCTGAATTTGTTCTGTGGTGATTGTTCAGTATGGAAAATGTTAAGCTGGAATATCTTGGTTAAGCATTACATTTTTTTCTCATGACATTATTATAGGCGTCTGCATTGTGCCTGAACTAAAATTTAAACTATATTTAGTGCTCTGAAATTTTCCCTCAAAAATTGATTTCTTTTTGGCCATTGAGCTCCCCTTTTTGCAGTTTTAAGATGTAGCCTCACTTAAGCCTTTCTGCCTCTGCTTCTAAAGAACTGCCTCTGCCTCGCTTTGTGATGTCAAAGAGTGATGGTGAGATACGGTTTGGGAACCCAGCTGAGCTGCACGGAAAGAAGGTTCAGATTCCATACTTAACCACCGAGAAAAATTCCCTCAAAAGAATGGACGACGAGGATAAACAGGTGAGAGTGTGATTCGGCATGTTCAGTCAGTTCTGACCGTGAAGCCTCATGGAGTACAGCTTCTGGTCTGTTGCCAAACTCCCAGTAAATCTTGCCATCTGGAACACAATTACAGATTTGGAAGTGAGCCAGGAAAGTTTTCTTGTAGCAAGAAGCTGACACATAGGAATTACTGCTAGCCACCCACTGGCCCTTTAGAATCTGCCTTAGTATAGAATTGTGCCTCAAACAATGCTGTTGATTTAATACACTTATTTGATTTCTCTAGGTCAATGGTTTTCTAAATAGGTTCATTGACATGTAACTTCTAAAACAACATGGAAACAAACAACAAAGCTAAAACCAAAGAGAAGAAACATAACTTCTAGAAGTTAGCAAGTGCTCCCTTCCAAAAAGAATCCCCAAACAATTCTCTGATTAAACGTGTTTGGAAACTATGTCCTCATGTCCCATTCATAGGGGAAAGAATAAGTCATCAGCCTTGGAAATTAAGAGTGCATATCGACAGGCAGGTTCTATTGTAAAGAGACCTGGAGATCTGTTTACCAAACTTTTTACCAGGGAATCCTTTCTTGGGAAACATGTGGAATGGCATCTCAGTAAATGCTATTACCCACTTAGCAGGCTTGGAACCAGAATATGGAGGATGGACTTTTAAAATCAGGCCACTGATTGCAGTCATCAGGTGGTGATTAATAAAGACAAAACGATGCCATTAGAGTGGGCCTTTTAGGAAGAGACAAACAGTTTTCATATTAGGAAATCCCAAGGACATCATGAGATAACTCATGCTTCTGATAAAAGAGCCTTTGAGAGAAGTCGGATTATATTTAATATTATCTTCTGTAAGGTAAAGGAACATGCTGTATTTTAGGAAGAATTGAATCAAGATGTTTTTTAAAATGCAGTAAATATTAAAGGGTTATACTAGAAAATAACTTGCATGGTTTGCTTTGATGGTCTTGGATATTCAAGGTTGTAGGTTTATTTTTTATTTTTATTTTTTGACACAGGGTTTTTCTGTAAAGCCCAGGCTGGCATCAGACTTACATGGTCTTCCTGCCTTCTGAATGCTGGGATTATAGGTGTGCTTCATTATGCCTGGCCTGAGTTTTATGTTTATAGTTAAAAGAGGCATAGCTCATTTTGTTAACTCCATGTAATGTTGCTTTAGTCATTTAAGTGGTGTGTTAGAGAGACATAGGAATTTGTACTAAGTATACTTTGGTATGTGTTTACACCAGCATTTAGAGAGGGCTGAGGATTCACTGTCCCACAGTGGCAGATTTTCTGGAAGTTTCCAAGTCTAGTCTCTTATCTCAGATTGCATGTTTGTTTTTAAATTAAAGAAACCGATATAGTCTCTGTGTTAGAAAAAGCACCATTTCTTTGTTTTTTGGGTACCCTATACTTCCAGTCTATTGGTAGTGAAAAAAAAAAAAAAAAGACAAAAGGCAGTAGCAGGCTCAGGCTGTTATTTGGCCTAGAGTCCTGTATCAGGTTCACAGTTAAACCTATGAAGACTTCATCTTAGTATTTTGTAGTATACTAGATGGGATGGCTATGTTCTGAAGTCTTTGCATATGAAACAAGCAACTTCCCCAACATTTAATTTTGTATAGTAAGCTCCAAGAATACCCACTATTAAACATTGAAAATATACATTTTATCGCATATTCTGGATTTATACTTGGTGAATATAAATTCAATAAATAGGAGTCTTAAAACGGAAGACTCATTAATTCATTAATTGAATGAAAGCAGAATCTGTCCACATTTGAGGGCTATATATTCTCTTATGTGATCAGTGCCTTTCATTTCTCAAAGGAAAATATTATTGGACTAACTTAAAGCATTTCAGGTTGGTATTAGTAATTTAGATAGTACAGAACTAATGATTTTGAATCCTCAATACTACCCTTTTGCTATGGTGCATTTTTGAGGAAACCTTTCTACCCGGTTGTTAAATCAGCCAGGTCACCAGCCGTAGAGTCACATTTTGCTTCTTAAACTGCAGCTCAGAATGCCAGGTTTCTCCAGTGGTTGCCTCTGAACTCTGCTCTGGTTCTTTGAAGCAGGAAACACAGTCTCCCACGATGTCACCCCTCGCCTCCCCTCCTTCTTCCCCGCCTCATTATCAGAGGGTGTCCTTGAGCCATGGCTACAGCAAACTGCGGATCGGCACAGAACAGATGCATTCAGGTAAGAGGCGACCAGGGGCCAGCTGTCACAGGCAATGTCTTAGAGTCTCCTTAATCTACCAGGCAGCAGTGCCACCAGCTGCTTAATTTCCTGATTTAATTACTCTTGTCTTTAGAAACATGGCTCAATTTCATTTTATATTCTCAAGCAAAGTTTTTTTAAAAAAATGAAATGGAGCATATCTCAGCAGTGCTTTGTTTCTTAGCCTGGAAACTGGTTGGGCTTTAGACTTGTAAACAACTATTTAGATGATTTAATATTTCATACACAAATTTCATTAAAGGAGTGTAGCATGCTAAGGGTTTGCATTTTTTTTGAGAATCGTTATTCCCTTCTGCAAGAACACTAAACATATTTACTCAATAATTGCTTTTATGAAAATTCTTTAAAATGTAACTATGCAAAAGCAAGAGAGCTGATCCAATCTTTAAAGACCAGGGACAGAAATGAAAATATTGAGCTTTTATGTTTTAGGATAAGGCTAAGGGAAATGCTTGGGGTAGCGTTTTGCTGAGAATCATGCAGCATGCACAGTTATGGGGCTGTCTGCTTGCTCATATCTATGCTCTTCTGGTCATTTCAGGGGTAAAATATGAGAGTTGGTTCTCAGGATGACTTGCAGAGTTGCCTGCCCAGACTGCAATGTGTGAGGCTCCATAAATCCACTGCAGCACCTTGTCCTTCTGTGCTTCCCACTTCTAGTTTCGGATATGACCAGTCTAATGGATTCTAGAGTGCAATGGCCTCTAACCCCCTTCCCATTTTGTGGGATGTGGTGGAAATGACCCAGTTTCTGCAGGATTTTGCTGCACTGAAAAAAAGATGGTGACTTCTAGAGGGTCACAGAAATACAAAGATATGCTAGGCTGAACTAAAGAGGGCTGTCCTTCTGCCGAGAGAAGCAGGTAGGACGTGATGAAAAGAGCTTTGGGTTAGAACCAGAGGTTGGCTTCGGGAGGACCCTGCATGACCTTAGGCAAGCCATTGAGCTTCTCTGAACCATAGTTTTTCTTTTAAAGCAATGATGAGGGTGTTAGAAGGATTCAGTGGGAATAGGAGTGTAAACTCATTTGGAAATTACATTCTATGCAATGCAAGCTGATGTTCCTAATAGATAGTTAAAAAAAAGATCATTCTGAAAATTGGCTATCTCATTGGTGTCTGAAACTACACAGAGTTGAGAAGGCTTCATTCTCCTCTTGTAGTTTCTGTTGTATAATTTGCCTTTTTAAAAGAAGGGGAATTGTTTCTTCTATTTCAAATCTAATTTGGGCTTGGAAATTAATGCTTAGTTCATAGGTAAATGTATTTGTGGTCTATTAAGTCAGCCTATCACTAAGTTCTAACTTTGATAGTCCTTGTTTGTGTCCTATGTTTCTTGCCCCACCCTCTCATCCTGTCCTAAGTGGGCTGCCATCCCTGCAGCACTGAAGAGACTGCCCGTTTCCCTCTTTTCTGGACTCCAAGGAGTCGATGCCCAGGCTCTGTATGCCCTCGTTCCTTTTCATACTTGTTTTAAAGTGGCAACATCTAGGTATGATGAAATGCACATATTTTAAGTAGTTTTGAATTTTAACAAATGGATATACTCATTTAGCTATCCCTGAGATAAAACACATTCCCTCGTACTGCAGATGCCCCTTCCCAGCTACTTCCTGCCCTGAAAGGTAGCACTGTAATGATTTTTATCATTGTTGATCAGTTTTATTTCTTCTAGAACTTCATGCAAAAGGAAACATGCAGAATAATTCTACTTGTATCTGCTGTCTTCCCCTCAATATAAGAGTCAAAATTCATATCATTGTATTGGTAGTTCCTTTTATTTTATTATTCAGTAGGTTTCATTGCACAAATAATCATGGATTAATAACCATTAATCTTCTGTTGATGAACATTTGGGTAATGTGTAGTGTTTGGCTATTATGAATCAGGATACCATAAATATTTGTTCATGAATATCTTTGTGACTAAGGTTGTCATTTCTCTGACACTTTGGAGTAGAATTTTTGGGTAGATATGTAAAAACAGTCACAGTTCCACTTAGATACTGAACTTCAGTGTGATGAAATATTTAGGGTTTTAAAAAATAATCTTCTCCTTGGAGAAAGATGATGTGTCTGCTTCCATATGAAACCTCTTGTAAAGGAATTGAAGGGTTTTTGGTTTGTGTGTTTGGGTTTTATTTGGGAAGGAAGAGAGTTAAACAATAAGTAATGTTCCCTTTTTCTGAGTGTAGATTCAGTTGAGGAGCAAGCTAGAAATCAGATTGATGCTAGCTTAATTATCAGCTGTTGCTCATATAGCTAAATTGAGCACACTTCTTAGCTATATGGCTGATTTAGATACCCACTTATTCAGTCACAGACAGCCTTGACCAGCCCAGCCTTTCCCCATAGTAGGAGAGGAAAATCTGCCTCTCCAAAGTAAGCTCCTGTGTAGCTGAGTTTCCATCGAAGCCTGGCTGGTGAAATACATCTGTCTCTCCATGTTAAGACCCCTGTAGGTGAGGGATTTGAGCTGGAGGGTCTCCTCTGGGTGGTAGACACACCCTCTCTCTTACGGGAAGCCCAAGTCCATGGGTTTCATGAAGCTCACTAGGATCCTAGCCATGCTTCAGATTACTGTGCTTAAAACCTTTTGGTAAGGTTCAGTTGGTATGAAGAGTTTAATGTGGTTTCATCAACATGGAATGATTATTAAAAAATCATATGAGAGGACAATGCCTGCCCACAATTTGAAAAATTACTTTTGAAGACTTGGGTTACATGCTCTCTATGAATTTTTCTTTTGTGGTATTTACATTTGTATCTACTCCTAGTAGGTTCTGAAATGCACTAAATGCGTTGCTAGGCAATCTTTTAGATATTTTAATGTGTTATAATTTTGTGTTCTAGTTGCTAGGAAGAAACAAAATAGTTGTGAGTCTGAATGCTTGCTTCCATCCATCCTTCCTTCCTTCCTTCCTTCCTTCCTTCCTTCCTTCCTTCCTTCCTTCCTTCCTTCCTTCCTTCCTCTCTTTCTTTCTCTCTCAGGGTCTCATGAGCAGCAGTCTGGCCTCCTGCCTGCTAAGCTTACAGGTGTGTGCCACAATGTCTGGCCAGTTTGGTGTTCTCGACATGCTATTGCTGTGCCTTCTCTATTTGAAAAAGATCAAACTATGCTAAAGATGGCACCGTAACAGTCACCTCTGCTCTCTACCCAATTTTATTTAGAAGTAAGCTACAGAAAGAAGCAGTTTATATATTTATATATTTTAAATCCTCAAAGTGTTAGTCCACAGAGATGAGAAATGGTTTCATTTTGGGTGTTAATTTCTCCTTTCTGTTGGAGCTGGTTATATTTAACTGTCTTATTTAACTGTCTTGCTACCATATTGGTAAGGTCATTATTATGTGTTCTGGATTAGAAGGAGTGAAGAATAGCATTCCTGTTTTTGTGACTTGGAAACTTATTTTACAGGTAGTAAAATCATTTAAAATATTTTGGTTATTGATTAATAGAATAATAAGCATGCAATACATTTACTCTTTTTTATATACTTGTTTTGGCATTCTGTAGAATAAAGAAGATAATTTATTTTTATAATAATGTTGAATTTTAGTGTTCAAAGTTCATATTAATTTTCTTTGGGGTTATATTATGAATTGGATACATTTAAATAGGGAAGCATATATAAATTATAACTAGATTTGTCATCTAAAAGAATTAGAAGACATTTTTTAAAAAGATTTATTTATTATGTATACAGTGTTCTGCTTGCATGTATCCCTGCATATCAGAAGAGGGCACCAGATCTCATTACAGGTTGTAAGCCACCATGTGGTTGCTGGGAATTGAACTCAGGACTTCTGGAAGAGCAGCCAATGCTCTTAACCTCTGAGCCAGCTCTCCAGCCCGAAGACGTATTTTTTTATTAAAAAATAAAAAAACCTTTATTTTTAGTTTATGTGTGTAAGTGTTTTGCCTGCATGTATATGCACCAAATATATGCAGTGTGGGTGGAGGCCAGAAGAGAGCATCAGATCTCCTGGGACTGGAGTTATAGGTAGTTGTGATCTACCATGTGGGTGCTGGGAATTGTGTAGGAGTCTGCTGGAGTCCAGCTCTGACCTGTTTCCACCTATCGAAGGGTTCTTGGGTGGAGGAGAGAGGAATGAGGAATATTAGATAGAAAGACCTAGACTACGAGGAGGAAGACAGAGACACAGGATGGCTTTGGGAGGGCCCTCGGTCAATACCCAGCTGCTGCCCAGTACTTTATTCAAAAGGGCTGTTTGTAATATGCCAAGAGGAGCAGCAAAAGACCTCCCCCTTGCAAGATCAAAGCACACTGTACAGCCAAGTGCAGACCCTTCCAAACACCTGGTAACCACGTCCATGGCCAAATCATCTCATTATGCAGCCCTGCTGGGTAAAGCAAGCTCAGATTCTCTGACCCTGAGTAATTTGGGCTCCCACAGAATTGAACCTGAGTCTTCTTAAAAAGGAACCAGTACTCTTAACCACTAAGTCACCTCTCCAGCCTTCAGAAAACTTAAGTTTTAAAAAATCTTCAATGCAAAATAAAAATTTGAGGAAAGTCTTTCCTTTTCCTACTGAAAGAGTTCATAAATATGGACTGCAGAGAAAGTTTTTCATTTAAAATGATACCTTTTGCTGGGCAGTGGTGGCGCATGCCTTTAGTCCCAGCACTCTGGAGGCAGAGGCAGGCGGATCTCTGTGAGTTCGAGGCCCGCCTGGGCTACAGAGTGAGTTCCTGGAAAGGTGCAAAGCTACACAGAGAAACCCTGTCTCGAAAAAACAAACAAACAAACAAACAAACAAACAAACAAACAAACAAAAATGATACCTTTTGGGTTTGGAGAGATTACACATTGGTTTAGAGTACTAACTGTTGTTCTAACAGACCTAGGTTCAGTTCCCAGTACCCACACTGCAGCTTACAACTGTCCATAACTCCAGTTCTGGGGCATCCAGTGTCCTTTTCTGGTCTCAGTGGGTGCCATGCACACACATGTTATAGAGACAAACATGCAGGTAAAACATCCAAACATTTAAAATAAAATGATACCTTTTAATAGGTATAGATGATGTATATAAGCATTAGGCCAACCTCAAATAAGCAGTGCACTCTTCAGCCCTTCCAAAATGTATAGTGTAGTTCCTGTACTTAATTGGGAGGGATGAAATGTACACATTCAACCAGGGGAAAAAACTATTCTGGATATCTGAGTTTTCTACTTGATGCACAGTTGAGTTTTTCCTTTGCTAATTCATTTGGTTTTTAATCCAAGGCTATGGTTCCCTTTTACGTTTCTCTCCCCAAATGAATGTAAATTTGGTTTGAATATAGCATGAAATTAGTAAGGAGAAACTGCTATTTGAATTCATTGCTTTTTAAGTGATAGAAGTTTCAATGGGAATAATCCACAGCATGCTTCTGTTTTGATGCCACTAAAGAAAAGATGAAGGAAGTCAAAAGAGCCCACCAGGCAAAGTACTGCCATTTCCTAGATGCAGTTTATATGGCTAGAGCTGCTGATTATTCAAATTAGGCCTTTGTTTAATTCTGACCTACAGCCAGTATTGATTCTAGGCTAAAGTCACATCCTTCAAAACCACGAAGGAACACAAAAATGAGCCCCACCACTTCAGAGCATGGTCCAAAATACCACAAGAAGCAGGAGTAAAAATGAATACTTGTAATGTGGCACATTTCTAGCTATTGATTCACTCTTTCTAAATTTCATTGAGGCTCTCACTGTTTTACTCTCTCATTTTATTCCTAATCTTAACCTGATTTGAGTTTTTTTTTAGTCTTGTCATGATATTGGCTAGATGTCTTTAGATTGTTTAGTGAAATTATGGACGCAAGCTGATCAGGATTTGTGAGTCTCAGGTAGCTCTTGGAGTATACACTCCAGTTCCTTTTTTACCTTTTCCTTGAAAAGCACATGCTACATCAGTTTGAGTGTGAAATAATAATTTTGGAGTAGAATATTTGTATACCCTGCTAGCATTCTCTCTTGTTTTTCAGGTCCTTATGAAACTAGACAGCCCATTGGCCAGCCTGAAGGATCCTCATCAGAGGCTCCAGTATCCAAACCACTTCGTCGTCAGGCATCTCTTATTCGGGTAAGCGATGATGTGGGCCTACGTCAGTGACAGAACTTGGAGAAAATTTGTACTGTAGAAATATGCCTTTTAGGGATGGAGATATGACTCAGCAGTTAAGAGCATTTACTGCTCTTGCAGAGGATCAGTGTTCCTGTCCTAGTATCCACATTAGGCAGCACACAACCTGTAACTCCAGCTCCAGGGAGTCCAATACCCTCTTATGGCTTCCTTAGGTACCTGCATGCATGTTCATATACCCACACACAGACACACATGCATACACATACTTAAAAATAAAAACTCTTATAAAGAAAATCCTGGAAGAAATATGGCATTTAAAATTATTATTTTACAGCTAGCATACAAAATAATGGACTTAATTTTAACATTTTTCCTTTTTTTTTGGTTGGGTGAGACAGGGTCTCACCATAATGTATACTCCCTGTGTACCTGAGGCTGATCCTTTTGTCTCCACCTTCTAAGAGCTGAGATTTCAGGCATAGGTCATTATGCCTGGCTTCACTGTTAACATTTCATATATATACCATACTTTGTATCTCCTCCATGACCCTTTTCTGTTGCCCACATCCTTACATACTGATTGTGTTCTTCCTTCTAAGTCATCCGTCCTTCTGCTCTCCTGTCAGATGTATTTCATTGTCTTCTATTGAGGAGCATGGCTTTTTGATCACTCTCTATTTTGTTTGAGAAAGGTATAAAACTACCTCATCATTCAAACATTACACTTTTCTCTTTTGCTTGTATATTTTCTTAAATCTTCCCTGTTTCTAACTCCTTTCAGTCTCTAGAATAAAGCAGAGGTTGGCTCTTGATCCTCAGTGTGTCTAAAGCATCCCCACCCCTTCATCTATTTAATCATGGAGTACCTTTTCCAGGAGACCTTCACATTTCCTAGAACAGCTTGTCTCGTATTTGCCTTCCTCTTTATTATTATTCGTTTAATGCCTAATTAACTGTTTTCCATTTGCTGTGTGTCTCCAATTATGTGGTAAGCATTTGGAAGGCTGCACTTGTTCTGTATTCTCTCGGTGCCCCAGACAATGCCATATGGATAGCAATTGGTCTGTAACTATAAGCAACTACTACTTTTTGCATGTAATAGATACAAAATATTATGGCGCAGGTATAATGATATTCAGTTTCTTCTGGTCACACCATAGCTTAGATAGTTTCAGCTTCTAATTCTCCAGGGTTTTCCTTTGGATAAAGAGCTCTGATTTTTTCCTCTGTCCATAGCTGTTGTCTTGTATAGTATCTCTAAGTTCCTTTGTCGGGAAAGTATATTATTAAAGACAGGCCAGTGGTGGTGGCGCATGCCTTTAATCCCAGCACTTGGGAGGCAGAGCCAGGCGGACCTCTGTGAGTTTGAGGGCAGCCTGGTCTACCGAGCGAGATCCAGGACAGGCACCAAAACTACACAGAGAAACCCTGTCTCGAAAAACCAAAATAAATAAATAAATAAATAAAAATAAAAAAATAAAAAAAAGACAGGTGTGTGTGTGTGTGTGTGTGTGTGTGTGTGTGTGTGTGTGTGTACATGTACATGAGAGAAACTATCAAAAAGTTAGGTTTATTCTTTAACATGAAAGACAAAAGGAAGTGGGTGGGGGTTTGTATAACATTTCAATTGTGGAACTCAGGAAGAAGGACCATTTCTGCACAGGCAGATCTACTCAAAATAGAGGACTGGACTCAGACACTCCCACAAAGAAGTAGGCTGCTAGTTTGGAAGAGAATAAACAGTCTGAAGAAGATCCTGCAGTTCATTCCGTGGATGCCTTTTGGGCATAGGACACTGTTAGACATGGCACAGAACTTGATCTTAAAGCAGTGCTCTGTTTACAAAGAACTCTCTAAAAGATAGTAATTAAACCATATATGATATATGTAATATTTTCTATAACCATAAGCTCTAGGCACTGCTGTCTCTATTAGTATAGATGGATGGCTCTAGGTACTACTGAGGTCAAGCAGCAAGTCTAAGATTTCATTCATACTTAGTATGTGACAGAACCTGAATTTGAGTCTAGTAAAATTCAGTGTCAGAGTCTGCATATTAAACATTTAGCTCAACATTAGAGTCCCATATTACAAGAAGGCTAGATTGTATCATGAACATTAGATGTTATAACCCTCCCTCCTGTGTGTGTGTGTGTGTGTGTGTGTGTGTGTGTGTGTGTGTGTGTGTGTGTGTGTATTTGAGTGCATATTTTGTGCTTGGGGATGGACTCCATGGCCTTGCCCATGTCAGGCAAGGACTCTACTACTCCACTACATACTCATCCCAAAACTATTCTTGAAAGTCTGTTATTTGTGGAGCATACTGGCAGGAGTGTCGAGTTCAAGGTCATTTTTGCATACATAGTGAGTTCAAGGTCAACTTCTAAAACTCAAGACCCTAACTCAAAAAAAAAAAAAAAAAAAAAAAGAAAAGAAAAAGACATTCTCTTTTACGGTCAGTACAGATCAGTTTTACCCTCAAGTTGGAATGGAAGGTTGTTTCTTCAGCTGAGCCCCAGATGTAGTACTTGGCTGTGTTTTAGAGATCCCATGGTATAAAAATATGTGCCTTTAAACACTAGAATCACACAAATTTGGGAGGCATGTTTGCATTAGGGAAGGGATTGAAGGGTTCCTCTCAAAGCTCTCTAAGGTGTGGACTGCAGGTTCCTGCAGAGTATGTTGTTTCTGTAGAGATGAAATCTTGAGTGGGTAGAAACACTGGTCAAATTAGCAGTGAATCTTTGACTTCTGAGGGGTAGGGTGAGGCTTATGGGACCCTTTCTACCAAGCTCCCTGGAAGCAAGGCCATGAACTCTCATTTGTATTGGTGTCCTGTGATTTTTCTTCTGCTGAGAAGCATGTTTCTTGAACCCTTCAGTTGACAAATACTTAGTGAATGAATACCTGTAAAGTACCAGATACTATGTTAAATGAGATGTGCCATGACTAGATCCCACCCTCATGGAACTTTCAGACTATTTTAGGAGATGACTATTAACCAAGCCATCCCAAAGTCAACATATGGGTATAGTATATGATGTGAATGAAAATTATGCTGTACTTTAGAGGTTAGTCAAGGAAGGCTTCTTTGGGGAGTAACATAACATTTGAAGTGTGAAGAGATGGAGATGTTAGCCAGGTAAAGGGTTAAGGATGGGGATCAGGTAAGAAAGCAGACAGAGCTACATGTACAAAAACATTCTTGTACTTACTGTTTTGTGCATATTAACTCAGTGCTCACAACTGCCTTTGGGGGTAACACTATAACCTCCATTTTAGATGACAAAGCCTGAGGTGTATATACTTTATTGAGTTTTCCCAAGATCACAGCTGGAAATGGAATGGACTAGAATTCAAACACTGGACACATTCCTCAAACTACTGGCCTGGGAACTGGATGGGAGATGATGATGTCATCTTAAGCAAGGAAGCACTGAACAAAAAGTGGTGCTGAGGAAAAATCTGGTGCTGTAAGTTCAGTGTTGAATATCACGAATGGAGCTTTTGAGACAGCCCAGAGGAGATGAACAAGAGTTCTGTGTTTGTATGTGTTTGGAGTTTTGGGAAGACCAGAGGCTGGGTATGGGTGTTTGGCAACAATTGACTATTGGAAGCACAGGAAAAAAAAAACAGGTTCTGCCCAGGTCCAGCTTGACATGGCCTGGAGCAAGTTCTTTCTCTTTTTTGTTGCATTAACATCTTGGTGTGGACTTAGCAATCTGTCCCAGCAGTGTGTCGGTCTGAGTCTCTTAATGTTGGTTTGTTCTCCTAGCACCTGTTTGAAGCATGGCCTTCTGTTCAGGAAGACAGCAAGGGGCCTTTCTTGCCCAGGATGGCAGTCTGTGCTCTTCGTGGTTGCTGCATTTTCTTTCCTTCAGCTCCTAGGTTTCCTTCTTATGCCTGTCAGCTTGCTTTGGCTGGACTCCATGTTACAGAAAGCAAAATGCCAATTTGAATTAGTCATGGAGATTAGGGGATTGGAAGTGAAGGTTCTTGGTGGTGGGGGATTAATATTTATTTGGTACAGTGCTAAGCTTGTTGGAGTGACTAATTCCCCTCATGGTGCCATGTTCCTGTGCTGATGGCAGTCTATTCTCTTTGTTCTAGCTTCATTTGTGGCCTTCTATTCAGACCTTTCTTTCCTGCTTAATTACAGTGGGGGCATGAAGCTGTAGCTCAGTGGGTAAAATGCCAGACTAGCATAGCAAGAACCAGTGCTTGAGTCCACAGCACTTCCTAAACTGGGAACAGTAGCGGACAGCAGGAAGATCGGAAGTTCGGGGGTATCCCAGCCTTAGCCAGCACACCCTGACTCCAAGTCACTGCCGCCACCATGGAAAAGTTAGAAGGGGACATGAATTCTGGGTCCTAGGGGAGGCCCTTAGGACCCATGGCCAGTGCTATTGTAGCCCATGGGCTTGGCATTTTGGAGGTGTTTATGTCAAATTAAGGTTCCAAAATTTGGAATGTTCAGTATTTTTTCCTTAATATTTTTGTTTAAATAGATTTTTTCCTCATTAAAATTTCAGAGACTTATTTTGGTGGATGATTGATGGGAGTTTTCAAAGAAATTGAAAGTCTTCTTTTCTGTTTTACCTGTTATCAGGTCTTCAGAGGCCATTTGTGGTTTTCATGTTTCATAAGCTATTCTGGACATCTTGCATGTAGAGTCTGATTCTGCCCGCATAGCATCTCCAGCTATACCTTCCGCTCCCACTTGTCTCTGCAGTCTGTGTCTCACCAGGATTGTTGGAAGCTATGTTGGGTCAAGTCCTCATCTTCCTGAATTTCTTGGCTGTTTTTTTGTCACTGCTCTTCTTGGAATATTCTCATTATCTGTGAAATGTGCATGATACCCTACCCTCCTGGTTCTGTGGCTACTTTTGCTGCAATTTCTTTGTAGTCTTCCTTCTGACTGCCCCTAATGCAGTGGTCCTTGAAATCATTTCTCACGCTGTTGTTCTTTAGCTCATAGAAGCTGGTGGTGATGTGTC